GAGGGAGGCCAAGTGAACAGGGCTCTCGATCTCATCCCAGTTTCTATCATAACAGCTCTGGTTTTAACAATTCTATACCAGAGTTTCATATAATCTTACCTTTGCAAAAAAGGAGTTCTATTGCTAAAACGAAACAAACTTGGAAAATACTGGCCCAGGGATCAGAAGGTGGGGTTGGATGGCTAGAGTTTTATTTCTAGCACAATTATTAGTCCACGATCACTGCATTTTTTCTGGTATTCAGTTTGCCCATCTATAAAATGGAGATGAAAACCCTTAATCTCATAAGGTCAATGTAAATTAAGTTTGCTGTTGACATGCTGTTGACATGCTTGAGACAGGAGAACAATCAGCATGAGAGGGAGCTCACTCATTCATTCAACACAAATTGTTGAGCTCCTTTGTATGGAAGCCATTATGCTAGGTAGGGGGTATGCAGAGGTAAACAGGCAGATGAGGACCTTGACCTTATGCATTTATTTTTAGTGAGAGGCAGATCTTCTCTGAGTATCACATTTCAAGGCTGTCCTTAAAAACTAGAGTTCCCAGTGGACGGTGACCAGAATGGTGGTGAGAGGCAAAGAAGAAAAAACCTGGGAACGTATAGTCTGTAGAAAAGTCAGGGGAAACAAAACCCGAAAGGCAGTCATGGGAAGGAAGAGGACTGGAGGCAGACCTGTTCTTTTGGAAGGCGGAGAGTAGAACCAGAGGGCAGGAGTTATAAGGGTGGCAGATTTCAGGTAAAAAAAGAGAGGCATTTTAGTAATCAGGAGTGTCCAGCAACACAATTGATTGTCAAAGGCAGTAGTGAGCATTTGTCATTAGGAGGATTTAAGCAGAAGTTGGATGAGCACCTAGTCTGTTGGGCTACACAGGAGATCATCTCTAGAGCGCTTTCTACTTCTGAGATTCAAGGACTCGATGCTCACACCATGGAGGTGAACTGAATGACCAAGAAACTGGAGCTATGGATCTAAAAAAACTCTTACACCAACACAGGACCCAGAGACTAGCACAGGTCTTGCCCATGCTTAAGCCTAGCTCATGTTAAAAAAAGACCTCTCTGAACATGTCCCCTATCCTCTACTACCCTTGCATTTGATAAATATTATTAAATACTAAGTATGTGATCATGAGAATAGCGTAAAAGATAGATGTTGTCCCTCCCCTCACAGGATATTTAATCTAGTGGGGAGGATGACAAAATCTAGTGGGGAAGATGATAAAAAAATTTAGAAACGATTGTAAAAATTACTAAGGAAAGGAAACAACAAAACAAAACAGGGGGACCTTTTTTAGATGAGGAAACCCTGAGAGGTCTCTCTGACAACTTGATGTTTAAGCTGTGGTCTGAGGAAGAGTCTAAGTGAAGGTGTGCCAGACAATGTGCTTGGCTTTAGGGTTCAGTGGAGGCCCTAAATGAATCCTAAGCATTATTTAAACACTCAATTGCTAAGAAAAACTTCAAAGGTTAGAAATGTGGTCCAGGAACCAGGATTCCCCCCACCCTGCCCCCAGCACATGCAAAGAAGTCTGTGGGAAGGCCAAGGAACTGACTTGGTTTGGGTGGAACCTAACCGTGGGAAGGGATCTGGTGCAATGGCGAGGGGCTGCTGCCCGGAATCACAGAAAGACCTGGAGGTAGAAAACAGATCGGAATATTCAGGGAAATGGGGAAAAACAGTGTAGCTAAAATGGACAGAACAAAGAGATAAGTGTGGAGAGGCAGGCAGAGACCAGATCACGCAGAACACTGCAAACCAAAGTAAGACATGGGGATTTGATTGTAAATGCATTAGAATGCCACTGAAGAGTTTTAGTGGGGGAGTACCATCATCTAATTTAAGCTTTAAAAAGACTACTTGGGCCATTAGGTAGAAAATGGACCAAGAGAGGTAGGAAGGAGACCAGGTAGGCCAGAAAGGATCTCTCAGGCCAGGAGAGGGAGGATGATGGTGAAGGCCGCGGGCATGATAAGATGCACAGATTCAAGATACATTTTAGATTTCCACTGCCAGCTAAGGTGGACTAGATATACCATCCAGCTTGAAACAACTAAAAGAAAAGACAAATAACAGTTTTCAGTCATTAGACATCATGCAGTACAGGAGTGTACTGTGCCTGGAAGAGGGGACACAAACATGGTGAGCCCGAGGCTTGCTCCCAGCTTACTGTCTGGAGAGTTTCCAGGCCACACAGCACAGGGAAGGGAGGACTGGACAGGGCCCAGTGATCTCCCTGAGTTGAGGAGATGGAGCTGAGAATCCAGATAGGCCAGGGCAGCTGAAGTTCACAGGCCAGCGCCCTGGAGAGGTGATTATATTTCCTATGTTCAAGAAGGCAGAGCAAAGACTAAGCATGTAAAGCAAAGACGCTGAAGATATAAAGATCCTCCGAGCTAGATGGTTCTTTCATTTAGACAGTTACACTGATGGTGCTTTTAGTTATGAAAGATAAGGCTTGGGTATTGTGAGAAGGGGAAAGCTGGGACAAAAGGAAAGAAGATTATTTTGCTCCATAAATTAATTTTGAGTTGCCTGCTGATAACTTAGAAAAAGGAGTAGGTATGGGGTGGAGGGAACAGAGAAATCAGAGGAGAAAGGGAATTCCCAAAACCTAGAGGGGCCCAGAAACTGGCAGCAGGCCAGGGCCTAAGGTGAAAGAGGACAGTAAAGATATTTACTGTAACAGCTGATAAACATTAAGATAAAACAAAATGTTAAATTGCTTCCTGTTTTTTTGTGGTAATCCTTCCTTCCCCCCTAAACTTAAGTACAAGTCTATTACACTAAACAGCCTTGTGTTAAGTTTTTCCTGAGAGAAATGAAGGATGAGGAACTGGACTCAGTGTCTGGGGCAAAGGACTGTAGAGAGTGACCATCAGCTATGGAATTTGAAAGAGAAAGAGGGGATTAAGAGCTGAGTCAGAAGCAGGAATTCACAGCTAGGAGTATAGGCAACTACCATGACAATGTAACCTTATTCTAGGTTATGTGGTATGGGGGTTCATTTTATTTTATTTGGATTTGGATACCAAAGTAAAGGAAAATTCCAAAATCTAGGAGGACTCCCATAGTTCTGTAAAAATCTCCAACTAGTTTCCTTGCCTGCTGTCTTGCTCCACTCCAATCCATTCCCCCACACAGGTCCCAAGTCAGTTTCCTAAAACACAAATCTGACTGTGTTACTTGCCTGACGAAACACTTCAATGGGTCCTCACTGCTCAATGATATCAAGTCTATAACATGGGTCAGCTGGACCTGGACTGGGCTGGGCCTCTGCCTTCCACTCCAGCCTCACTGCTCACAGTCCTCTCTTCTACTTTATATTCCAGCTATACTGGACATTCAGTTTCTCTGAAACGGGCCATGTGTCCTCTTGCCGCTCACATTCTCACATGCTACTCAGTCAACGGGAATATGCTTCATCCTTCCCCTCCTCCATTTCTTTGGGTCTGGGGCATTTTCACCTGATTATCTTACTCCTTCAGGTCCAAGCTTAGGTGTCATTTTTTCCTGGAAAGTGTAGGGAAAAGGGCTCCAGTAAGCACTGAGATAACAGAAGTGACACCTTCAGATGTCAAACTAGCAGGAATGTGTAACCAAGCAGAAGGGAGGGAGTGATAAACACCAGATCCAAAGGGCAAAGCAAAACACAGCCCTTGTCCAGATCAAACTCTCTGGCAGAGGTTGGGTAATTGATCAGGAAAGTGCAGGAAATGATAAAGGATCAGAGGTGGAGCAAAGGGTCAGGAAGGCAAGGTGGTAGGCAGGCAGAAAAGATAAGCAGCCCAGAGGAGTCAGAAATGGAGGCAGTGCTCCGACTTGTCTGGGCATAGTTAACATGCTCCTTTCTGGGAAAGAAACAGCAACCGGGGTGAGAGCAGCCAAGCTGCTGAGCACCCACGATGAGACACAGAGGTCAGAGGGCACAGGAGGGTGCAGAGAGCTGGCTGAAGCTTTGAAAACGGGGGAAGGGAACGGGGGGGGGGGGGGGGGGCTGCCAGGGGTGGAATGTGATCACTCTGGTATTGATATCTTTCTTGGGAGTCAAGAAGAGTGGCTAAAGCATGCTTCCTCTTATCTGGTGGTTGAATTCAAGAGATGCAAACTGGAACGGAATTCCCAGGAAAGGTCAAGGCCCCCCAACGCCAAACTACCTTTGTGACCGCAGGCCCATGATGTACACACCTACTGGTCTTTGCCTGCTGCCACCAGTATGTGTCTCTTAGTTCTTAAGGATGCTATTCCATTGAGGAATTCTGAGTTGCTATTTCTTTGAGAGATCTGTTTAGACTAGCAGCTACACTCATGGACATGCTACCCCCTTGCATGCATCCGTTCTTCTAGGATCCCAGGTAGGCCTAACTGTCATTATTGGAGTGCAGCTCAGAGCCCCTGAATGCCATTAGCTAGGGATACTTAACAGCCTGCCTTTGTCTGCACCAATTCCACTATGCCCAGCCCAGACTCCCAGTGGAACGTTCTAACAATAAGTAAGAATCCCTTTTTCTGTTCTCAGAGATTCTGATGCTGAAAGCAAGCATTCTAGAGCAGGACAGGTGAGAAAAAGGATCAGTGAAGGGGTCGCACATATGTCTGCAGAGAACAGCTGGTCTGGCCTTAACAAGAAGTATTTAAAATTCAGGTTATCTTTTTGCAAGTCACATAAGCAATGCTCATTTGGGTGCAAAAATGTAGAGGGGGAGGGGTGGCCTGGGCTGGGAGAGCAGCCACTTCCCTGAGCATATTCTTTAGAAGTGGCACTTTCATCAGAAGTGATTCTGTTAAGACAATGATAAAAAGACGACAGGGCAGGCTGTGTGGGAACAAGGCTTGTGCAGAAGGTCAGAAGGGGTCACCTTTCAGACTTACGCGCCCCCATCAACAGACAGCACAGCCCTGACACTGACAGCACCGCCGCTATTCCTCGGGCCAGGACAAGGTCCACAGGACTCCTTCAGAGGCCTTTCCTCCCTCTCTCAACAACGACCTACCTCGCTAGGTTTAGGGCCGAGCTTTCCTTCCCTCCCTGTCGTCTGTGTCCTGGGCTCCAGATTAGAGATGCCGTTCCATTCACTCTTTAACCTCTCGGAAGTGCTTAGTCACTGATCCGGCCACGTGGCATCCGCTTTCCCGTTGTGGGTCTGGTATGTTAACTAAGAAAGTTATTTTCCAGCCTAGTTAGAAACAGCAGGAACTTGAATTGACTTGCTAGACTGGCAGTGCTAGAGGAGTTAGGGCCACGTGCCAAAGGAAAGAGCGGATGGCCAATCACCAGGGAGCAAATTTCTCAATCTGTAGCCTGAGACTAAACCCTCCTGCTGGCAAGGGAGACCCGTGCTAGGCCGCTGCTGCCAAACTCACACTGGGAGATGCACTGGGGCTTCACAGTGGCTCCACATGTAGCTTGGAGCTCAGAAGGGGCACTGTGAACCACCTTTTTCTAGGGAGAAAAATCCAGAGGAAAGAAGGTTAATCCTAGAGAGAGGGGACAAAATCCTGAAGACAGTAAAGATGAGAGGAGAACAAAAAGTCCCAGATGTGGCCAAGGTAAGGGACAGGAAACCAGGTCTCTGGTAGTAGGTGCCAGGTTCAGGCTGGCAGGAGTGAGGGATGGCCCCTCGCTGGCAGCTACGAGTCCTGCCCCGTTTCTTAGCCCAGGCCCCATCCCAGCTCCTACCTGGTAGGTACCTGTCGTGGCTGTGGCTGTACTCTGTGCTGGTGAGTGACAAGTGGGTCTGTGTAAAGGGCTGGTTGCCAAACAGATTGTCACTGCGAAGGTTGTGGCAGAGTTTCTCCAGGAAGCGGAGGACGTAGGTGATGCTGTTGACTGCTGGGAGGTTGAGGGTGTGCTGTTCCCGGTCAAACACGGCTGTGGAGTGAAGCAAACAGGGCTGAGCACGTCAGCCGGGCAGTGCAGTGCAGCGCTGGGCAGGAGCAGTCCAGCCCACAGCTTGCCTCGGGCTTACCTGCTTACACAAAGGCAATCAGTGCCCACATTTCCTCCCTCCCTCCCTCGAGGGTTTGATTTTTGCCTCCAACTCCAAAGGGCTTGTAATAATGGGAGTGGCCAGGGCAAGTCTGTTGCACCCAGGGTTCTGGAATGATTTTACTCAACCTGTGAAAACAACTGTGAACATAATTCTATCTGCTGCATCAGTTGGCTGGGCTGTGTCCAGGAAATGTGTTCATTTAGGGTGCTATTTCCATAAGAACTGCCTAAGAACAGAGGAGCTGGGCAGACGACGAGAGTGCAGCCATTGCCAGCAATGGTTTAGGTGCACGATCTGATCTGTATAAGGGCACTAGGATTTCGGCAACATTTGGAACTGTGCCATGCTTAGTTTTATTTTACTCCCTATCTACTTCTATTCAAAAAGTATCTGTATAATCCTTAAAAAGCAAAGGCCCCTGCATTTGTCTCTGAGAGCAGCAATGAAATGGGGGGATAGGTCATTCTCAGGAACCCATTTTGGGGCAAAGGGAGAACCCTAGAGGAGGTGATGGCAGTTGGAGAGGCAGTAAGAAAGCCTGTTCACTGCAGACCGCTGAGAGAAGCAAAGGAGCGTCCGGGAGTGGTCTCAGCCTCAGAAGGAAAGGAAGGCCTGATTTCCCGTGCAGCTCTCAGCTTTCCATGATAGTTCTGTCCCTGCCTGCTCCACCCGCCACACAGCTAATTACTCCCTTGTCTGGGCTCGCACAGCACCCTACACATTTTTCTCTACTGTAACACTTCTCAAAGTTAGCTGTGAGATCTTCTTTTCCACCAGGGCAGAGTCAGAGCCTGTCATCTTGCTTCCTCCATCTTTCCCAGCCAGTGGCTGGCAAAAACCTCTTGACGTACAGTAAGGGCTCAGTAAATGTTAGCTAAAAGAACACAGTTGGATTATTTACAGGGTTTTCCATGTCGGCTGCTTCCTGAGGCTGGATATTGGAACTTGTTAGAAGGAAGGGGCAGGAGTTTATGGAGCAGTGTACAGTTCAGACTGAAAGGTTAGGTCAAGCCTTCACAGCTTTGGTGGGTAAAGAACAGAGTTTTGGACCTAGGAAAACTGAAACAGAACTGTGCACAGTAGAAAAAGTGAACATTCTCAGTGAAAACAACATCACCAACAAAAAAACACTGTGCAGTTGACTCAGACTCACATAGCAGGAAAGAAAGGGAATGACTCTTCCCTTTCTGCCCTGGGGTTCAACTCCCTTGTATCAGGCCTGGCTCAGGACTGGCAAGCTAAAGAATCAAAAGAATGAGAGACGAGTTCCAGGTTCCCTGACGCCAGGTGGAAGAAACTCCTGTTGCTACAATACAGCCCCATCTTGATTCTATCTTCTGGAATGCCTTTAAAGCAACATACGCATATATTTTCTGTATGGAGAGGCGAAGCAGGCAGACAGAAGAGGAGTATGTTTAGAGGCTCAGTTGAGCAGTCTGCGTGGTATTCTACTTGGCAGAAGTATGCGTAAGGCTCAGAGGGGCTCTGAGAGTTGAAAATGAGGACTCTCTGAGGAAGGGAATACCTTCACACTTCTCCTAGGGCCTACGGGTGTGAAGTGGGAACCAGGATGCCTTGTCAGGAATCAGCCAGTTAAGAAGGCCTGGCTTTCTGGCTATGAGGCCATAGCAGCCCAAGGGAACTTACCTGAGATAACCTCACCGCCGTGGCCCTGTTTGAGGAAGCTGAAGACCGTTTTCTGGTGATAAGCACAGTCGATGCAAGCCTGGACGGCCTGCTGCAAGACCACGGAGGCTCGGGCTGGCCCAAAATGGTCAGGGAGCTGCTGGACTTTCTTCTTATCTAAGTGGGGGCCTGTGCTGCCGTTCTTGTTCAAGTAAATACAAACTGCAGGAGACAAAGAATTCAATTAAGGAAGCTTCCAGAGCACTTGGGGTAGAGGAGTTGGAGAACAGTGCTTTCTTCCGTCTTTAGTACCCTGGACTCTGGTCCCGAGCAGGCCTCCAGCTGCTAAGCTGGTGACACGCTGTGGGAGGGAGGAGAGGGTGGCTGTGCCCAGCTGCTGCCAGCCCAAGTTGCATGACCAAAGGCTCTGGGAAGACAGCCTGCTGGAAGAACAGCCCAGACCAAAAGCCAGGGCACAGCACTGACACTTTGTGTTCTGTGCACTGAAAAGAAAATGTAAACAATTTTCCAGATATATGTACTTTCAGTTTTGGTGCTTTGTTGCCTCACATATTCTTTGTGTATCTTACCTTATATGTGTAAGGAGTTGTGGGGCTATGCAATATTAGCAAGTGTGTGTGTTTGGCCTTGGACTTAGAATGGTCACACCACTGGTTACTTGCCTTGCTTTCTTTTCTGAGCCTTGGAGTACCTTTGTTATCTATATCAACACTCAGGCCCAAAGAAAGTAGTAAAAATAGAAAGAAAAAAAAATAGAATAAAGAAAAACATGAAAAGGGCTTGAGGGTCCCATGTAGAAATTTGTTTCAGTGGTTTCTCCTGTTGAGAGAGCTGGGCACTCTCCTAACTGCAGCCTCCACCTGGCACCGTGTGGGTCATGGGCTTGGTGGGCACAGGAGAAGGAGGCCGTCCTACACAGAGCTGCTGCCTTGTCTCTGGAGAGGACCCACAGCGGCCCGCTCAGCTCTGCTACTCTCCCTGCTGATCTGCCTTCTAGGCTTCCGCTTTCGTGGGTCTCATCTCCTTCATACTCTCAAGGCTCACTAACTGAAGAGGTAGGAGGGCGAAAGTGCTTTTGCTATTAAAGGTAAAAAAAGAGAAAGGCGGTAGCTGTGTGGGCTGTGGCTGGACGGCTGTCCTCTTCCGGCCTCAGGGTTACTATTGGTAAAGTGAGGGGGCCGAGCCGGATGGTCTCTGAGGACTCTCATACCTTTATTGTTCTAATTCTGAGGGGAGCAAGTGGAGTGAAGAAAATGGACAATGGAAATGGGAGAGGCAGGATGTGGAAGGTGACAGGTGAAAAAGAAAGGAAAAAAGAAAAGGTAAACAAAATGAACTGAAACAAACATGTAACTCTGTCTCCTAGAACCCACTAAAACGAGCCAGATAACAAGACAGGAGACAACATAAAGTTTGGGACGCTGGAGAGCAGCCTGGCAGGTGGCGACTGACTTAGCCAACCTAAGAGAGCTGAACCCTTAACCAAGGACGCGGGATGATGAGAGCCAAGCCGCTCCGCTGTATCCTTCACAAAAGGCCCAGGAATGGGCCGCTGCCTCTAGAGGGGGGCATTAAGGGAGAGCTAATAGTAGAAGAATTGGTTAAGTCTAGTATGAAACAGGATTTCCATGTCAAAATATGACTCCTTTGCTGAACACAAAACAAAAATCCAAGAACTCAGAGGGATAAGAGTAATGAAAATATTGTAAGTTCACAGCAACTTAGTCATAACAGCCGCCAATGAGAACCAACCCAAATGTCCATCAGCAAGAGAATAGTTGTACACATCGTGGTATATTCATTTATTGGAATACCACTTGGCAGAAAAAAAAAAGAATTATTGATAGGGTGCTTCTCAAAAACATTATTTTGAGAGAAAGAAACCAGATCAAAAAGAGTACATAGTATAATTCCATTTATATTAAGAGATGATATAAATGAAAAGAATCCTTTAGACCCCCAACCTCGTACAGGTAAGAAGACTGAGAAGGCAATCTCAGTTTTCTTATGGAAAAGTAATGATGGTTCAGGGGACAAAACCCAGAGTAATAAAAAAACAACTCCCAGAAAGTAGTATTGGATCTAATTAAATTGGCAACATGTGCCCAGCTGGATTTCAGAATTACTATAGATCAAAGACTGCTATGTGCCTCCAGTTTTTCTCCCCTTTGATTGGGCACATCTATACGCTATCTTATTATGCCTATCCCACCAGTGTATGTTGGGCATGTGGGGAGCAGACAACATTTTTAGTTTACAGGTCTTCAGATAGAGAAGAACTATGTTCAAGGAGCTGTGCTTGAGAAACTGCACCTGAGAAGTCTCATTTACCTGGATCTGATTTAGATGAGGAGACACTACATCTGGAGCCTGATGTTTTAAAGAGTTGAGACTCTTTTTTTTTTTTTTAAGATTTTTATTGGTGAATTGGGGGGATGGGAACAGTGCTGGGGAATTGGCAGAAGGGGAACAGACAAGTTGCTGTCATTTTGTTCTTCAGTCTAGTTGTGGAGGACGTTGCTTCACTGGCCCAAGTTGGCACCATCATTGCGCTCTTCCCGGGCGAGGCAGATCAGTTGCCGGCTTCTGGATGGCCGCTCATGGCAGCTGCTGGCCGCTCACGCTGGCTGCTGGCTACACACGGTAGCCCATGGCAACCCACTGCCACAGGGGCTGCAGCCTACGCCGTTGCCGGCGACTCACGGCAGCCCAGCTCCAGGTTGAGCTGTTGTTCAGCATCTTAGCTGTGGAGGGCAGTGTCACTGGCCCTCATATGTGGGATCTGAACCGGGGCCCTCTGGCGTCCCAAGCCATCTCTTAACCATCGCGCCACTCGGCCGGCCCAAGAGTTGAGACTCTTAATGCGGGGAAATCTTGCAAGGGGAAGAATGAATATTCCAACGGGAAAAATATAAATAATTTATGTCAAGAGTGGACTGATATTCCCCTTCTCTTGAGTCTGGGCTCTGTGACTGCTTGATCAAAAGAATATGGTGGAAATGATGCTATGATAATTTTGGACTGAAACATTTAAAAAATGGTAGCCTGGGCCGGCTGAGTGGCACATTGGTTAAGAGCTGGCTTGGGACGCCAGAGGGCCCTAGTTCGGATCCCACATATGAGGGCCAGTGACACTGCCCTCGACAGCTAAGATGCTGAACAACAGCTCAACCTGGAGCTGGGCTGCTGTGAGTCGCCGGTGACAGCGTAGGCTGCAGCCCCTGCTGTAGTGGGCTGCCATGGGCTACCGTGTGTAGCCAGCAGCCAGCGTGAGCGGCCAGCAGCCGCCGTGAGCGGCCGACCAGAAACCGGCAACTCATCTACCTCACCCGGGAAGAGTGCAATGATGGTGCCAACTTGGGCCAGTGAAGCAACGTCCTCCACAACTAGACTGAAGAACAAAAGGACAGCAACTTGTCTGTTCCCCTTCCCCCAATTCTCCAATAAAAATCTTTAACAACAACAACAAAACATGGTAGCCTCCACTTGTCTGTCTTTTGGGACACTGGTTCATGAACCCATCCACGATGGTATGAAGAAGCCCACGCTACCCTTTGGAGAGGTCCATGCAGAGAAGAAGAGCCAGCACCAGTTTTGCAGCCATGTGAACGAACCATCTTGGACACAGACTCTCCAGCCCCAGATGAGCCACCCTAATTGACGCCATGTGGAAGAGAGATGAGTTGTCTTCATTTTAAAATAGTTGAATATACTGATATTATCTTTTTCAGGTATATAAAAGGTCATATGCTTTTTCTTTTATACTTTATGCTTATTGTCTTGCTTTAAAAATCCTTCCCAATCTTAAGGTCATAATGTTATTTTTGTATACTGTCATGCTTTGGATTTCTACTGCATCCATGAAATCAGAATTGGAGATTGTAAAAAAATTCGAATTACTCACTCCATCCTAACAATAAGTAAAAAGCTGAACAAATTGAGAAATCAACAATTCTTTTTAGGTCCATCAGAGAAGTGAGATTACAGGGCAAACTGCTGCCCCCAAATTTGGAGAGAGAGGTGAATACAGAGAATGACAATTTCCTAGAGCAGACACCCATGAACAGAAACCTCCAAAGGAACTATTTATTGTCAAGGTAGGAAAATCTAAACTGTAACTGGCGAGTTGCTGGAAGCTCGGTGTAGAAAAGTCTGAGAGTTACTGACTCCAAGGGGGGCCCAGTCATGGGCAAAGGTGCACTTTGTTGAGTTTTACCTCCAGGAATTTAACCATGTCCTCACAGTGAGTATCTGAGAAAAATCCCCTCATGCTTCCAGCAGGGGGAGGGGTAAAGGAACATTCTGTTTGTAACAGGCCTGCCCTCAGGAGAAACTATTTTACTAGAGTTTAACCTGCTGGGATGTGATCAGAGCCTCACCTACCAGGGGGAAGCAAAATACCCAACTCCAGATCCCTCCAGCCACCCTGACCAACCTCAGAGGGGTGATGGGACTAAGAAGCACTGGTGAAGCTCACAGTCCAGGGCCTCAGGCTCACCAAAAGACTGACACCCACTTGTACGACTATAGAATCGTTCTCCTCCTACACCTCACTATCACATTACTAAAGGCCTATTTATAAAAATTCCTTTTCCCAGCACATCGTGCCTGGCTGTCAAAACAAACAAACAAACAAACAAACAAACAAACAAACAAACAAACAAACAATCCAAAAAAACCCCCCAAGCTATACCAAAAGGCAAACAACACAGTTTGAAGAGACAGAGCTAGCATCAGAGCCATACGCAGACATGGCAGGGAAGCTGGAATTATTAAATTGAGAATTTAAAACAACAATAATTGATATACTAGTGGGTCTAATAAATAAAGTAGACAACATACAAAACAGATGGGAAATGCATGCAGACAGATGGCAATTCTAAAAAAGAATTAAAAAAAGCAATTCTAGAGATCAAAAACATGGTCACAGAAATGGATAATGTCTTTGATGGGCTCATTAGTAGGCTGGACACGGCCAAGGAAAGAATTGCTGAGCTTGAGGATATCTAAATAGAAACTTCCAAAACTGAACAGCAAAGAGAAAAATGACTGAAAAAACACACCAAAAACCCAAATCAACAACTCAGAACAGACTGTCCAAAAATTGTGGGACAACTACAAAATGTATAACACATACATACATAATGGGAATGCCAGAATGAGAAAAGAGAAAAGAACAGAAAAAGCATCTGAAGCAATAATGACAAAGAATTTCCCCAAATTAATGTCAGGCACCAAAGCACACATCTAGAAAAGTCAGAGAACACAAAGAAAGATAAGTGCAAACAAAACAAAACAAAACAAAAAAAACAAACTAAAAACCCCCCAACACCTAGGCATATTATATTCAAAATGCAGAAAATCAAAGATAAAGAAAAATTCTTAAAAAAAAAAATCAAAGAAAAACCTACCTTACCTATAGAGGAGCAACAATAAAGATTACAACCTTAGAAAACATGTGAGCAAGAAGAGAATAGGGTGAAATATTTAAAGTGTCGAGAGAAAACACCCACCAACCTAGAATTCTGCACCCTACATAATTATCCTTCAAAAGTAAAAGAGAGCTCTCTTTACATGAGTGGCCTGAGGTGACCTCTGAAAATAGCTTGCCATTCGCTTGACTCAGAGAACCGCACAAAATCATGTAAATTGAGGAGTTCAAATCTATGGGTTCATTTTAAGAACACTTGTGAAACTGCCCAGGCCATCAAGGGTATGCATGTTTGAAAAGCCACCAAGTATCTAAAGGATGTCACGTTACAAAAGCAATGTGTGCCATTTTGTCGTTACAATGGTGGAGTTGGGAGGTGTGCCCAGGCTAAACAGTGGGGTTGGATGCAGGGTCATTGGGCCAAAAAGGGTGCTGAATTTTTACTGCATATGCTTTAGAATGCAGAGAGTGATGCTGAATTTAAGGGCTTAGATGCAGATCCTCTGGTCACTGAGCACAGCCAGGTGAGCAAAGCTCCCAAGATGCGGTGCAGAACTTGCAGAGCTCACGGGCAGATTAACCCCTACATGAGCCCTCCCTGCCACACTGAGATGGTCCTAACTGAGAAAGCGCAGATTGTGCCTAAACCAGAAGAGGAGGTTGCACAGCAGAAAATGATCTCCCAGAAGAAACAAAAACTTATGGCCCGGGAGTAAATTCAGCATCAAACAAATGCTAATAAAAGTAAAAGAAAGAAAAATCGAAAGAGAAATACTTTCTTAGACAAAGAAAAATTGAAGAATTTTGCTGCTATAGTAGACCTGCCTTGCAAGAAATGTTAAAAAAAGAGTTTCCTTAGAGAGAAGGAAAATAATATAGGTCAGAAACTTGGATCTACATAAAGAGAAAAAGAGCATCAAAGAAGGAATAAGTGAAGGCAAAATAAAAACTTACTTTTCTTATTCTTAATTGATCTAATAGATAATAGTTCATTTAAAATAAAAATAGCAACAATGAATTTGATTATTTATATATACATACATACATATATGCATTTATATATATATACACATATATATACATATATATATATATGCTTATGTATACTTATGTGTAAGTGAAATGAATATCAATCCTATAATGGATGGGAAGGAGGAATTAGGATTATTTTGTTATTATATCTGTGAACTGGTATAGTGTTATTTGAAAGTAGACTTGGATTAGTTATAATGTATATTGTAAACTCTAAGGTAACCCTAAAAAAAGTAAAAAAAGAAGTACAATATGGTAAGAAAGGACTAAAAAATGGAATCATATAAAATGCTCAAAACCACAAAAGGGGGCCAGCCGAGTGGCTCAGTTGGTTCAGAACGCAAGCTCTGAGCAACAGGGTTGCTGGTTCGATTCCCACATGGGCCAGTGAGCTGCGCCCAAGCTGAGCTGTCTTTGAGCTGCCAACAGGTGGCAGGATGGCTCAGCTGGTGAGAGCATGTGCTCCTAACAACAAGGTTGCCTCCTTCGACTCCTGCATGGGATGGTGGGCTATGCCCACCTGCAACTAAGATTGAACACAGCACCTTGAGCTGAGCTGCCCTGAGCTACCGACTGGGCAGCTGGATGGCTCAGTGGTTAAAGCATGCTCTCTTAGCAACAAAGTTTCCAGTTTGACTCCCGCATGGGATGGTGGGCTGAGTCCCCCGCAACTAAATTTGAACACAGCATCTTGAGCTGAGTGACCGCAAGCTGCCGTCAGGCAACAATATGGTGACTGGACTTGGAGCTGAGCTAGCTGTGCCCTCCACAAACAAACAAACAAACAAAAAAACACAAAAGGCAGGTGGATGCTAGACTAATCAGGGGAATCACTGCATAAATTCTATAAATGTCTAACCACTATGGCATACACCTGAAACTAATGTAAAATAATTTTAAAAAAGAAAAAAAAGGAAAGTGGATGATTCACTAAAAAAAGTTTTGTCATGAGGAATATATTCAATAATATTGTAATAACTATGTATGGTGTCAAATGGGTACTAGATTTATTGGGGTGATCACTTCATAAATTATATAAAACTCTAATCACCATGTTGCACACCTGAAACTAATATAATATTGTATGTCAACTGTAATTGAAAAATAAAGAAGTTATAAAAAAGTAAAACCACAAGTAGTTGGAAAAGAGTGGAAGACAAAAATAGCAACAAAGAACAAGAGTAACAAATAGAAAACTGTAACACATATGGTAGATATTCATTCAACTATATCAATAATCACTTTAAATGTCAATGGTTTAATGGTCAAGTACACCAATTAAAAGACAGATTCTCAAAGTGGAACAAAAAACAAGACCCAACTCTGTGTTGCCTACAAGAAACTCACTTTAAAATAAAGGCATGTCTAGATTAAATGTAAAGGGGCAGAGAAAGATATACCATGCTAACACTAATTAAAAGAATATTAGAGTAGCTATATTCATTTCCGAAAGCAAATTTTAGAACAAGGAAAGTTATCACAGATAAATAGGGGAATTACATAATGATATAGAGACCAATTATCTAAGAAGACATGTCAAATATTACTGTATATGTACCTAACAATAGAGCATAAAAATATGGAAGACAAAAATTGATAGAACTACAAGAAGAAACAGATGAATCCACTCTTATAGTTGGAGACTGCAACATCCCTCTATCAGGAATGGACAGATCCAGCAGGCAGAAACTCAGTAAGAACACTGTTAAACTCAATAGCATTATCAATCAACTGGATATAATTGATATCTATAGACTACTTCACCCAACAACAGCAGAACACACATTCTTCTCAAACTCATTGAAACATTCACTAAGACAGACCACATTATGGACCATAAAACACACCTTAAGTAAATTAAAAACCTAAATTAAAAAGAGTAGAAATCATATGATGTCTGCTCTTAGACTTAAACAAGAAATCAGTAACAGAAAGATTGGTTTAAAAAGTCCCTAAATAATTGGAGATTAAACAACACACTTCTAAATAACCCATGTGTAAAAAAATAAATCTCAAAAGAAATTTAAAAATATTTGCAATTAAACGAACTGAAAATACAACGTATCAAAATCTGTGGGATGCAGCAAAAGGAGTGGATAGAGGGAAATTTATATCATTGAATGCATATATTAGAAAAGAAGATCTAAAATCTAAGCTTCTACTTTCGGAAACCAGAAAAAGAGGAGCAAATTAAATCCAAAGTAAGCAGAAGAAAAGAAATAATAAAAATTCGAGCAGAAATCAATGAAATTGAAAACAGGAAGTCAACAGAGAAAAATCAAT